TAATGTACATTTAGATTAGTAATACCACATGTATTACACCAAAATAGCAAATATGATACATATTATTTTGTGTAAGACAAGTTTTATTTCTTTCCTTGTAGTCACCAAATGTCTCCTGGGCCCTTAATTGTTCTGTTAATAGAAAGTGGGAGAGAAGCAGCAAAAATAAAAATAATAATAAGGTGATAATCTTTTTAATTTATATTTCATGTACAAATAAATATACGATGGTCATTTTGGGACCTAGAAGATGGAGAATTAATTATCTTCTTTGTGAGGGGGAAGCCTATGTCTGGATGTGCCTCGATTTTCTTCCGTTCGTATCTATTATTTTATTTAAGCCAAATTGACTTTTGTAATATGACAATTACATATTTATATTATTTGAGAATGAAAGATAAACAAAGAGCAGTAACTGAGTCAAGGATGACAATTACAACATCATAGCTGAAATAGGAACTAGACTTGGGATTAGATTAAAAAAAGTGTTTGGCAACTCTTAAAAATACTTTTAAAAAGTACTTTTCTACAAAATGAGGTAAACTTCTTCACATATTTATTTCATAAAATATAAAAACACTTTTGAAACCATGGTTTAGTTTCCGTCCAAACACCCCTTAGTAAAACAAATAGGTTAAATAGGTTTTTTGACCAAAAAAAACAAGGGTTAAATAGGTTCTTAAAAATGACCTCCTAGGGCTTTTTCTAATATAAATCTAATTAGACTTAATAGTAAAAGATAGGGAAGATTAATATGCAGTACCTATAACTTTACTTTATTCTTTAATTAAATTCTTGTAACTTTTTTCTTTTTTTACTGGATTCTTATAGTTCTTCAATTAAATGTGTCAATTTTTGTACTTATAATTTGTTAATTTGTAAGGGGAAAATGTTAACAGTTGATGATATGACCCTTAATTAGCATCACTTAGAATTTGCTTGCATTAATTTTGCCACGCAGATGTAAATAAAATCAAAATCAATCCAATTTCCAATTATCTGTGGTTATGAATATTAATAATTTTTAAGGTTCAGGTACGAATCTATGAAGTATTTTGCGAGGGAGGTCAGATTTATTTTATAATAAATTGATTTGAGTTTAACATGTGACTTGTTATAGATTTATCTTTCAACCTGTTCTATATAAAAGCTTAATCTGGCTTAAAGCCTGTTTAAAAGCTTGTGTTTTTAAAATTTTTAAATTATATGATAAGAAATACACATACTAATGAACAAACAAAACATACATACTACATAATAATTATTTTTTAATCTTGTATTTTATTTAAATTTTAATGTCATTGATACTATTTTAAATCTTAATAAGGATATTATTAAAAACTAGTCATAATTATATGTTAAAATTTGGTATAAGACTATATCAAAGTAAAATTAAGGCAAATAAATAGGGAGAAAAATTATTAATTTTACAATAAACATAGTAGGTATCATAATTTGATTAACATAATACATAAGTTAATTAATTTATCATTTATTCTCCTTCATTTTAACTATCCTTTTAGAACAAAATTTTTGGTTGCTATTTTATCTATATTTTTAGAATTTAAAGATCACATTATTTATTGACATTATTATTTTAAACTCTATTTTTATTTTCACTTGAACTTCAAAATTTAAGGAATCATTAACTATGTATAAAAATAAAAATAAAAAGATCAAAAGAGCACATCAAAATAATAGCATTAACTAATTTTTTTTTCATAATATTACAACTTTAAATTTATTACCTAACAAGTTTAATAGATTTCTCAAATAGTCTAGATTTGGCTTATCAAACTATTTATTTATCAAACCATGGTTTGGGGAATAAATCATCCAAACACCCAACCAAAAACCAAAACCATGGTTTTGGAAAAAGCAAAACTTTTTTGCTTTTGGAGAAAAAAGGGAGAGTGTGAGAGCCTATAGGATATGTATCTTATTATTTTTTTTATAAACATATTTAATCTTATATTTTATAAATATATATACATATTATTTATTTATTAATTATATTATCTTATGTATTATTAATTATGTTAATAAAAATACTCCTCCGGTCCTTAATATAGGACCCAATTCTTGAGTTGGTTTTGATCCTAAATATAAGACCAATTTCTCATATTTATCAATTTTATCTAAATTATCCCTATAGATACTCTCTCACCCATAATCAAGTAGAAGAGGAAGAAGGGGTATTAAGAAAGATGATTATGGTATTTTGGGAAAAATGTGTCACTTTTCTTATAATTAACTAACTTACTTAACTTTCTTAATCTAATCAAATTAGTTAAATGGGTCTTATATTAAGGACCGGAGGAGTATATTATTAACAATTTTATTCCTTCAAATTAAAATATATCATAAAATCTATTTTTTCTGTAATTATCATATTAACTTATGTCTTTCTTTTTAGTAATTTGTATATATAAAAAGTGCTTCTGATAACAATTATCCAAACACTCTCACTTCTTAAAATCACTTTTTCATAAAATCTATTCTTTCCAGAATCTATTCTCCAGAATCACTTTTCCAATCCACGATTTGGTTTCATCCAAACACACCCTAAATATGCTTTTAAACAAGCATGAAAAAAAACCGGGCCAAATGCAAATCAAGTCCAAATAGTCTGGCCTGTTTCCACTCTCATGTCCAAAGCCAAATTTAAATTTTAAAAGAAATCAGCAGCGTATAAAGTTTAAATTTAAAGTTTTAAACCCTTCAAGCAAATACAGACCTTGTTGATCTTAGTTTCCATTGAAATTTTTTTGCCTTTCCCACAATTGTTTTTCCATCCAAGTTTTCATTTTTTTTTTTCCTTTCTTGGTTCCTTACAAAATCAAAACCCCTTCAAATGGGAAGAGAGCTATTGGTCAAGGATTTCGTCACTAATTTTAATAGCGGAATTCACAACAAATTAACGACAAAATTGCATTCTAGTCTTAAATATACATACACCCATATACATATACATACATATATACATACACACACGGAAGATTCCTTGTCGTGGGCAGCAAGCATAAGCAATCATCAGTGACATCATCTCCCTGTGTATTTTCTCCAACCCTGGCAACCAGTCATTATCCAAATTAATGTAAATTAGAATTAGATGAATAAGGTCACAATCTTCGATATAATTTAAATATGGGATGGTCTTGGTATGCGTATACCTTCTAGATTCTTGACCAAGCTAGAGCAACATTTAGATTATCTTATGTTATTTTCAGCTAACCTTACTATTATACTACCTGCCTTCTTTATAAAAATCAGATAATTAACTGATAGACATTAAAAAAATTAATTAAATTAATTATTTATAATAAATGAATATTGTCGTTTCTAAGCTACCCTATCAATCATTTGTACTGAAATTAGAGTATTTTTTTTAATGAAAACTCTTCAACAGATGTAATTACTATGAGGATTATTTGAGAGCAAAATAGATAAATGTTAAAGACAAAATAAATTATGATTTTATATTTAAAACCAAATAAAATCTCTAACTAGTTTTTATATTAAGGTTCAAAGGTAGTATTTGGTAATTAGTAGAGATATTAAAAATTAATTAAATCAGGTGACAAATGGGTGTTAGTTTTTCTAAACTACCCAATTTAATTATGTCCCCTCATTAGGAACTTCTGTGACCAATTGGGATATTTTGAGAAAAAAGATAAAATTAGGAGACAAAATAAATTGATGTTTTATATTTAAAATCAAATATAATCCTAAACTAATTTTTATATTAAGTAGTAAAGGTGATATGCATATATATTTCTATTTATAAGTCACTTTCAATATGCTTTACAAAAATAAAAAGAAAAACTTCAAACTTCATTAATTTTGCATTAAAATTCAATAACTTTTTAATTTTAATTTTATTTACTATATATTATATTATACAAAACAAAATCAATATAATAATAAATAAAGGGTAAAATTATGCTCCCGTCGATCCTTATTATAAGCTTCAAATAACTAACTTAGATATAAGGGAATAATTATTTAAAATTATTTAAAAATAATAGATAAGTTAGAAATATATTTTTTATTTATATCCTTGTAATAAATGAGAAAAAAGAAGAAAAAGAATGTGTGGAGAAATATAATAAGAGAAAATTAATTAAAGGCAATATTAGAAAATCTATATTAAATGTTAAGATAAACTCAAATTGAAGGTTATAAAGTGAACGACACCCTTTCTTAAATTTGAAGTTTATAAATAGGATTGAAGGGAGTACATTTATATGAAAAGTTTCTCTATTTGCCTATAAATAAGTATGTTTTATGAAATGCAAGGTATCAATGGGATCAGAATTCCTAGTATGCATCCTATTAAAGTATACTATATATTAAAGATGGAGTATATTTTTACGTATTGCACAAAATTTATAAATATATATCTGGCAAGAAAAATTTGCAAAATATGATTTATTGAAAATTAAATTTGATACTTTGTCCACTTAGGTAATTTTTCCTAAGTTGTTACATCAAATAATGTTGGTAAAAACTTATTAAGTTTTTAAATTTATATACTTAATGCTGGCAAAAAAAATTTACATACTTAATATTTTATTACATTAAACAAAAACAGACAGTACAGATTTATACGCACACAAATTCTAAAGTGAATTGTACGGATGCAATGTACGTAGGTAATTGTATGGGTATTGCTAAATATTACCGACTAATTAATTTGAATAAATTAAAAAAATAAATTAAGTTGTTTTTATTAAAATATTTTTGCTAATTAAATTAAAAAGACTACTTAAAAAATATATAAATATAAAAAATAAAATAGATTAAAATTTTATATTTAAAATTAAAATAAAAATCAAATAAATTTTTACGTCAAAGAGAGCAGATAATTATGGATATAAAATTGGGCAAACCTCTCAGAATGATCAAGCAATTCATGATTGATGATAATTTCCTACGATACCAATCTCATAATAATTCCCTAGCAAAAAGAGAATAAAGTTGCATCCTCCTACCAAACCAGTGGTGGTTTTCTTTAGACTCGAATTCCTTTCTGTATAAAACTTTAAATATCTTTTTAACCCTAGATTTACGAAGGCCATTGTCGATTTGTCGGTAATCCCAGAATCCCACCACGAAAGAAACAGGTTTTGTTACGGTAAATCGTTCCCTTCGCTTCGTTCTTCCTTCATCTGAAGCAGTGCCTACTTTGATCTGTTGCTTTCGAGCGAATCGTCAATGATTTGCTTAAAACTGTGCTCGTGTCCTGCTTCGGAGTGAATAGCAAAAGTCTGGGAATTTTTTAGTTAAAATAAAATCAGGGTTTTCTTATTCGTGATTATGCATAGATCTGGAGCTACGATGGCTTGGAACGTTTTCAAGTTCTGCACTGCTTTGCGAGGGCTTGGCTCGATCATGATCCTCTTGGTTCTTGGTGTTGTGGGGGTCAGTTATTATGCTGTCGTTTTTACTACTTATGGCCCTGCTCTGTCCGCTGGGTGGCCTGATTCTGTCATTGCCATGGCGGTGTTGATCTTGTTTCATTGTTTGGTAAGTTTTCAGTGCTGACTATTTTCGCGCTGGGGATTATGAGGTTATTTCAGGATTTTGTTTGTTAGGTGTTAAATTTCTTTTCTTGTTTGGGAAATTATGAAGTGCATTCAGATTCTCTGAAGGCGTTAGCCAATTGTTGAAATTCGGCTTGTCCAAAATAGTAAATGTTTGGGAACTAAGGTTATGATCCTTTGACAAAGGTCAAGGGGTTTGAATGTATGGTCTTCGTAATACACTTGAAAAATTTGAAAACTAGATTTTTTGGGTGTTAGGACAGAATTTTTAAGGAACGAGTTTTGCTGAGTAGAGGATTTTCATTTAAGGTCATGATTGAAATCTTTTAGTTCGAAGACTAATAGAGCATGTTCTTTGTGAGCGTATAATGAAATGATATTATTGGTTGAAATTCAATTGCTGCAGTTGGTTATGCTATTGTGGAGTTACTTTGCTACTGTCCTTACGGATCCCGGATGTGTGCCTCCTAATTGGAGGCCTGCTATTGATGAGGAGAGAGGAGAAGCTGACCCATTAAACGGATCAGAATTTAGTAATGTGCCGTCAGATCCTTCAAGTCAACGAATCCGGTTCTGCAGGAAGTGCAATCAACTTAAACCACCTCGGTGTCATCATTGTTCAGTTTGTGAGTCTTGCTGTAAACTTTAACAGTTTGTTCTGTACTGAGAATAGGTGAGATAACTTTGATATCTATTGGTTTGGTGCTAGGCGGACGATGCGTGCTGAAGATGGATCACCACTGTGTTTGGGTAGTTAACTGTGTTGGTGCTCTAAACTACAAGTATTTTCTTCTGTTCCTGGTATGGGAACCCTAATAGATTTTGTATTTTGTGTCAATTCAGATGAGTAGCTATGATTTCATACCTGCATTGATCATATTGTGTCTTCAACTTTTTGTAAGACTGAGGCATTAATCATGCGATTTCCGCTTTCAAGTAAAACACTCGTTGCTGTTATGTACATGACACCTTTATCATAATAGTTCTGGTTCTTACATAGAAAATGAAATTTATTTCATTATTTGTGACAATAAGGAGTGGGTAACTTGGAATAGACTTAACTGATTTGCTAGCGTTATGGCTTAGGTAGTTATGCACTAGATTTTGTGGGAGACCATAAGTTGCAGTTTTATACTTTCCATTTCCTAGTCTGTAGATCACAATCTTTTATGGTTTCCATCTTATCCTAGGAGGGATATTGTTGTCACTTCTTTCTTATGTGCAAAAAGGGATATGCCTCCTATAACCTCAAGACTTTGAATGAAAAACTGCTGCTTCTTCTTCTTCTTCTTTTTCTCTTTTTTTCTGTCTAGGTTGCGAAAGAACTATTTAGATAAATGTTGATACGGATAATGTTATTGAGTATCATAAGGTGTGACCAATATCCAAATACGTATAAAAAATTGTGAATGAAATTTAATGAGCCTGCATGTTTTACTTTGTTGTTTTGTATGTAATGGTTGTGTATTTGTTTCCTTTATTTGTTGCTGCCTACAGAAAAATCGTTTCAGTGGTGACTTTATTCTATTTGATCTTTGTGCAGTTCTACACATTTCTTGAGACAACTCTTGTGACAGTATCATTGTTGCCAAACTTCATTGCATTCTTTAGTGATGGAGAAATTCCCGGGACACCTAGCACACTCGCAACAACTTTTCTTGCTTTTGGTGGGGTTTTGAACCACTGCTTGATTCAATCGTTAGTTTCTACTGTGAATTTCTGTAACGTTGTTGAATTACGTACAGTTTTGAACCTGGCATTTGCATTGAGCGTTTTTGGATTTCTTATTATGCACGTGTCTTTGGTGTCTGCTAATACAACAACTATTGAGGTAATATATATGTATTTTTTGCATTTATTTCTTTTGTCCTTTATCTATCAAAAACAAAGTTCTGAATTTGATATGTTTTCTTTCGACTTTCTTTGTTTTCCATGGTTGGAGACGCTTCAAGCTTACATTGTCTTTCTCTATGAGTAACCGTTATATTTATGGCAGTTTGAGCTATGGTTATCAAGAGAAACTAAAACAAATTGGGTTTAGTTGATCACACCTTTTAGGTTCATTTCACTTGATAATTGTATTATGATGCGTCAAATGGAAATCTAAAACTTCAAATGATTATGCGATTTTTCCTTTGTTGAAAATCTTTCAACATTAAAAATGTGATTTACTTCTTTTTGCTCCTCCTTGAAGTTGGAATGGCTTGGATAGTGTTTGTGACTTTGATTTTGTTGGGATTTTCTTTGCTTTTTACCAGGCATATGAGAAGAAAACAACTCCAAAATGGCGTTATGACCTTGGTCGTAGAAAAAATTTTGAACAGGTGTGTATGTTACTGTATTAAGATCTTTAATATCTATTTTTCTTCTTAGCTGTTAACATGCCTACTGCTTTCATTGCTTGTTTATTAGATGGAAGGAAAAGTTGAGAGGAAAGAATACTAGGAAAGAAAAACAAATTTCCCTTTGTTTAGATAAGGAGGGAAAATGGGGAGAAAAATAATAGGCGGGACCTGCTCCCCCCCCCCCCCAAAAAAAAAAGATAAAATCTCCTTGAGGGAAATGTTTATTCCCATGTTGCCCTTGCGCTCTGCCTCGAGTCTTGACCATCCTTCCTGCATACCCAGTCACCTCTCTTCCTCCTTTCTCTTCAACAGTGCCCTTGACTTTGCATTCCTTGTTTGTCTTCCACAGAATTCCACATTTTCCTGCGAATCTACCATGAAGGGGAGGTCTCAGTCCTCTCTCTCTCTCTCTCTCTCTCTCTCTCTCTCTCTGTGTGTCTGTCTCTGTGTTTCACAAGAGCTTGATAATGGAACTACAAGAAGGTATCCCACTAGAAGTGAGAACAGAGAAACGTAAAACTGCGAGCTTTGAAGAAGACATGAGAAGGAGGAGAAACAGAGAGAAAGGGATGGGGATCTCGTGATATAAAAAGGAAGCTAAGAATGAGTAGTGTTGAAATTCCAAAAGAGAAAGTGTAATAAAAAGTTGTGTTTAGAGAGAGAGAGATAGAGAGAGGAATTTACAAATAGAAGCAGCAGAAGAAAGAGAAGAAGAGGAATGAAGGAATTCTTCAAATTATTGTATTCTACTTTACAAAATTATTCATTTTGATTTTTAAATAGAAAAGTAGAAAAATATATTTTTGTCAAATTATTTGATTTTGAAATAGAAGAGGTTAAAAACATTTCTTTGTCAAATAACTGGTTTTAAATGGCGTTAATTTTAATATGATTTTTCCCTTCGATTTATTTTGATGAATAATGACATGACATAATATATCCTCACATATGGGTATTATCGTCTTTGTGACATTTGTCTTCTTTCTTTCCTCTATATTTTATCCTCTTCATCCAATCACAATGAGTGATAACATTGTGCTCCACTTTCTCTTCTTTTCTATTTTCTTTTTTTCAACTTTTCTCTCCATTCAAACAGATTGTCAATCTTCTTTAAAATGGCCTCAACACAATGAAGAACACATTAGACTGACGGCTCACGATCTAAAAATTAATGTCAATTTCACTTGGGCACATTATTTTTGAGAGACTGTGGAATATAGATCTTCTGTTTGAGGTTTTCTTCTGTCTAGCATTGAAGTTATTGAAAATAATTTTTCAGATCTGGTTGTCTTGACATATAAATTGGAATGATTTAAATTATAAATTGTGTAGGGTTGGCCTCATAATCATGTTTTTTTTTGGAGTCATTAACCTTTATATCTATTTTCTTAAATAAAGTGATTGCAAACTGCATTAAGTTTGGAGGTTTGGCCAATAGCTATTAGGGCCTGTTTGGGTGCTCCAAACCGTGGTTTCAGAAGCACTTCGACAAACATGGTAATCTCCCCACATATTTACTCGTACCGTAAAAGCACTTCTGAACTATGGTTTGGTTCTATCCAAACACTCCCTTATTATTGCATTGCTTCAGTCTACAAATGGTTTATCGGACAAACTGCGTGTATCATCCACCTGAAATTTGGCTAATTGGACTGACGGAGTTGTAACAATCCTCCCATCATTTGACAAGCTTGATGTTTAACCTGGATATTTAGCCCATCGTCAAGCATTTATAAACCTAACCACATGCTGGAAAAGGAAAATGCTGCATGGCCAGAGGCATTTCTTTTGGTACACTATGCAGGCAATCAGCATTTTACTTAGTTTTTGTATGTTAGCTCAATGTCAATAATGTATTTTTGTTCCATAGTTGTGTTGACATCATGTCTGCCCCTTAGTCTCATATCACCTAATGTTACCATCTACACCAAATCTGTTAACTAGTCTGGAAAGTAAACAAGATAAAGAACAGACATGCGGAGGAGGAGGAGAGAAAGAAAGAGGTCCAAGTTCATAACATTAAGCAGAACTACATTATTCTCTTGACCTATTTGTCTCAGTCAACGGTTATGGTTAGAATAAGAAGGAAAAAAAATATCACAAGAACCAAATTTCGAAACTATTTATTCCTAAGAACCAAATTCAAGTATAGTTAATACTCAGACTACAAAAATCTACGAGTATCTGTTCATTTATCACTTGAGGTCCTTAGGAACAGATTCTGAATTTGGTCCTT